CCAAATATCCGTCCTGGAGGATTCAATCTATTACACAAGCACTGACGTCCGGGGAGCTATCACGGCTCCTCTCCATCAGCACAGCTGTCCACGGAATGGGGCTGCTGCACCCGCAGGGTGTTGGGAGTAGGGACGAGTGCACCCCACCCTGCCACCCTGGGGTGCTTGGGGTGCTCACTCGTTCCTCCTGCACTGCCCCGAGGCCAGGCCACGTTGCTGGGTCTCCACTGGAGTTTGTCTCTGTGGAGGTGCTTGGTTCCCCTCCATCTTCAATGGTTAAAGGAGAACGCAGGCATCTGGCGTCGCCACTGCCACAGCTGGGCTGTGCCGGCAGCGGGGAGCCCATTAGCAGCTTGTTTGCCAGGTCCCGCTGGCATTATGCTCCATCACCTTCTATTTCCATCGTTTTGCATGGGTTGGCACGGCTCCTGGTCTGCCTCACACCCAGGGGCTGCCTTACAGCCCCGGTCCCCCACGCTGCCGTCACCCCCTGTCCCTGGGTACGCTGGGGTGCAATCCTGCCCGGCTGCTTGGGCACCTCTCGGAGAAGCTGCTGAGTTTGGCTTTCCAGCACTGCAAGGAATCATTCCTGGGTTTTCCTTCAGCCTGCTTCCCTCCTGTCAGGCACCTTCCTGCCCCTGCGCTTGCCTGCTCCAGAGCTGCGGGCACCGAGCACCCTCCCACCCGGCAGTCCCGTCCCACCTCACCTCTCTCCTCCCCAGGTTTGCTCGAGTGCTGTGCCAGATGTCTCATCGGGGCACCCTTTGCTTCACTGGTTGCCACTGGCTTGTGCTTCTTTGGGGTAGCGCTGTTTTGTGGCTGTGGGCACGAAGCCCTCACAGGCACCGAGCAGCTCATTGAGACCTACTTCTCCAAAAACTACCAGGACTACGAATATCTCATCGATGTGTAAGTACCCCACTGCCGTGCTTCACCCTCGCGCGGGGGCTCCTCGTGTCTCCGTCTTGCTCTGTGCTGGGAGGACGTGGCTGGCCGGGGCGATGCTGTCACCCGGGCACCACGGAGACCCCGGGATGCGTTTGCCATGTGCCAGTGCCGTGGCTGCGTGGCAGGGTCCACTGGCCATTTCTTTCCCTTTCACACCTGTTTTATCCGACCCTCGCTCGGTGCCCCGGCTGGTGCTGGACCTCTGCACCACGTAGGTACAGAGGGCATGGGAGAGCTGACAGTGGCCCACAGACTTGCTTGCCACCGCTTTGACCCAGCTCACTCCTCCTAGGGTTTCACCCTCTGTTTCGGTCCCCCGGGGTGGCATGGGGGTGGGTTAGTCACCGCAGCCAGGCTGCCCCAGCCATGGGGCTGAGCTCCC